GATGATTCTCTTCTTGTGATTTGGTCATCGTATTCCTTCAGTCTGAATTTTAATGAACTTGTTTAGTTCCCTCTAATTTAGGTTTGGGCCAACTAAAACTATTGAGGTCCTTTGCAAATTAACCACTATGCCAAACCAAATATCAGTTACCCTTCCTGGGAAATTATAGCATTTGTTTTGTATGTGTACCTCAGGCCACATCATGAAAAGTTTTTAAACAAAATCATAGCGTGTGTGTGTGTTCATTTGATTTTTACCAACTGGAAAACATATCAAAACAGCATATTGTGTCTTCTATGTGGTTGGATTCCATTTATCAAGGTTCTGTTTGGTTTTGAATATCCTTAATGGCCTACCTGGAAATGCACACAACTAAGAATAAGTAGCCAGTAAATTAAAAGTAGACAGATGAATTAAAGGAACAATGAAGAGATGTAAATATAGCCAGAAACCAGCACAGTGACTCTACTGATGGTAATCACACTCTTAGCTTATTAATCATTTAGAGAGGAAAGAACTGAGGGTTGCAAAATAAAGAATGATTTAAACCCAGCAGAGACCCACATTTTACATTGTTGTTGTTTGTTGTTGTTGGAGACAGGGTAGAGAGGTCTCTAAGCTGCCCACGCTAGCCTTGAACTTGCAATCCTCCCACCTCAGCCTCCCGAGTAGCTGGGTGTTATGGATTGTATCTGTGGATATCCTCCGAAAGCCTCATGTGGTCATAGGTGAGGTTCTTCAGAAGTGGCTGGATCTAGGGTGTGTGATGCTGGGATTAAGGATGCCCCACCCTGGGTATGGTTGGGACTGCCCAAAGGGCAGGTTGCCTGGATGAAATATAAGGCTTGGTTCCTTCTGCTGCTGCTTTGCTGCCTGCTGCCTTCTGCCTTCCCTGCTTTGCCATGAACTATTTTTCCCCTGTGATGCCCCTCTGCCATGCCACCCTGCCTTGGAGTCAGCTGACTATGGACTGAAACCTGGACAAACTACAAGCTGAAGGGAACCTTTCCTCCTATAACTTGTGGTGTTGGGTATTTTGTCTCAGCAATGAGAAGAAAACTAAGACACTGGGAATAACTGGGGTATTTATAGTTGTGCAGTACTACACCCAGCTTGTACTTCATTTGTGCCTTTTCTTTTTCTAGAAGAAACAATAGAAGAAAGTATTGGTAGTTGCATAAAACACACATGGCCAGATGGCTATGGTTTTGCCCTCATTCACTCTCCTGACATACAGTATAGTTCTTAGGCTATGTTCTGTAAGGGTGAGTTAGGGGCCAGCTGTCCCTACTTGGTGATCGCTGTTTAGTGGCCTGCAGGGACTCTGTTGGTGAACCCTTCAGCTGTCTCATGAAAATACCGGTGGCTGTGTGTTGTGGCTTGCAGGCTAACTCCTTCTAATCTGGTGAGATCGGCCTGTGGCGTGCAGAACCTTGTTATCTGCTTTTGTACAAGTGTTAGGTTCCACTGCATAGTGCTTCAGAATGTCCCCCACTGAAAGCAAGCTGTGGTCAGTTGTTCACTGAACTATCACATATCCACACACATAAGTGACCATATTTATCTTCAGCTACAACCTATTAACATTAGCCAAAACAGTTGCTAATTATGGACGTCTATTTTTTTAATCTTCCTATTTCTGGGGAGAAATAAGTCAATTCATTCTGTCACAAACCCTATACCATAACTGGGTATCTTAAAATACATACATATACAATTCTAAGTATAATATGTACATAATATATATATATATATATATAATTATCTTGTTCACTGTATCCTTAGTATTTAGCACAGAATGTATTCAATAACTATTACTTGGTGTTAGACTTATTCATATTTTCCCTCGAGTTGATGAGTATTTATTGAGTGCCTGTTAATGTGTCAGGCACTGGGGATAAAAGTGAGCTAACATAATATTGGAGTCCTCACCCTCCATGGAGATATGGTCAGGCTGCACATCTGTAGTTACAAGTAAGTGTTATGCAGAGAGGCACATGAAGCTGTAAAGGGGGGTGGTTGGGCCTGGTATGAGATAGAGCTAAGTAAGATAAGGAGGAGGAGCAAGATCATCAAGATGAGGCATGGCTGGAGACTGTGACCCAGTCGGTCCCTCTGGCATTCATAGGGGCTGGAGGACAGGAAGCTAGGTGGAGTGTTGTGCCAGATAGGCTGCAAGGAAAGACATTCTGTGATATAATCTTGTTTATCTCACCAGCTTTGGTTCAGTTGTCCCCATTGTGTTACAAATGCCCCCTGACTCTTGAAGGAAACAAGCACTTTCCTTAAGTCTATCTTTATAGACTATCATTTTCTTTGTCCAGAAATAAAATGATTATAGCAACACTAATTATTTCATGTGCCTTAAAAAAACACCAGGCAACTATCTGATTTATTTACATATAGCTTCCCAAGAGATACAAGAGATAGTAATAATACTGAATACTAATTTAGCTGGGATGTTGCATCATTCTTAAGCCAAAATAGAAACCCAGATAAAGACCCCATCAGCTTGGAGAACCATGGGCCCAAACTCATGCATCATTTCCTTGTCTTTTTATAGCTGTGTGAAATACAGGGCCGGATCTCTGTTCATTCTCTGACACCAAGGATGAGTATGTGGAAAGATGCAGAAGAGCATGATAGGAAGAGCCTGTGGAGGCCATTTTTGCTGCTCACACTCTGTGTTGTCTCTGGAATAGTTTCTAGAATGTGTCTGGACTAGAAAAATCCACTTATCTCTTCGTCAGTCCTTAGATTATGACCCTTCTATCTTTCAAACCACCTTTGGCCACAGATGTGTGATGTTTAATGGTTAACCGTTGTTCACTTTGTTCCTGCTGGTGGTGATGCTCCCCAGCTTGTTTGTCCATCTCTGACCCAGGGGTCTGGATAGGTGGCTTAGGGCCATTTCTTTGTGTTCCCATAGCACATGTCTTTTAGCATATTTTATTTGACTCATTTGCGTATGTGTCTTTCTACCTATTTGACTAAATTCCTTGAAGGCAAAGAGAATTTCCTCTTCATTTTCATTCCCTTGGGTCCAGCACAGTGTATAGTACCTTGTGATAAATGTTTATTAGGAAATTAATGTTCATTATGGTTTTGTATGTCACTTAAAAGCCATTCGGCCATATTGTAATTGCTTAAACTTAGAAAAGTGGGACACAACAGCTAATCTGCACTGTTAGGAATTTCAGAATGACTTCACAATTAATTATATCTATTTCTTCCACATTGTTGAAAAAAAATACCAGTTTTATTATAATTACCAGTCAACGTGTACTGCCAATACTATGTATGGCCTATGGGCCAAATTTGGCTGGCTGCTTGTGTTTATATGGCCCACAAACTGAGAATCATCTCTACCTTTAAAATAGTTGAGAAAAAAAATCACAAGAATAAGACTTTATGACACATGAAAATTATATAAAATTTAGATTTCATTGTTCATAATACAAGATTTTTTTGGAGTGCAGCTGTGCTTAGTCAGTTACGTATTGTGTCGGGCTTCTTCCACACAGCACAGTCGGTTGGGCAGTTGTAGCAGACTGTGTGCCTCAAAGCCTAGACTGCTGACCTCATGGCCCCTCCTAGAAAATACGGGCTGAGGTGTGGGCTGCACTAGGCAGAGGTCATCCACAGAGCTAGTCCGCAGCTCAAAAAAGAAGCAGAAGGAGGATCGTGGAACATGTTTTGTGTGTGCGTGGGGGTTTTTTAGTATATTTTGCATTTTAACTTCCTTTCTCTAGCAGCTGGAGCAAGTTTATTCAACAAAATTTGTATCAAAGAGTAAAACTTTTGTCCTCAGACAACAAGTTTGAAAGATATAATGGCCATAGAACTGGACCACCCGGCCTTTCTGATACTCCAGGGAGAACCCCGAAGTCCCTTTAACCCCATTTCTTATCTCTTCCTACCCCACAACCCTTTTTTGTCTTTTCCCCGTATTTATGATTAATGCCACCCAGGTGCTTTTGTTTCTTTTCCTTGATTCAAAGTTGGAAAAACAGAACAAACTGTTTATATGACAGAGTTTAATATAAAAATATAATTGAGCAAAATTAGGACAGTACTGTAGTCATGTTGGTTTATTTCTTTTACCTTCTGGCTTTCATCTGTTTGGACTCAGAAAACAAGAAAAACATGAAGGTTAGGAAAATGAGCCAAAAAATGGAAGACAATTGAGAAAGAGAAATTCTACCATCAGACTGTATTTTGTACAAGAAGCAGCTGCCAGGTGCTTCCAAACCAACCCGCCTTTCCAGTTCAGAATGAGAGAGGCTGTAATCTTATGCTTGGAGTACCACTTCAGGGCCTTGCTTATTTTGTTTGTACTTAGACTTTTGGTGGTGGTAATGTTGGCGGTGGTGGAAATTAAGAGGTGAATATATATTTATCAGTTTTCTAAGCACATGATATTATGAATATTTTTAAAAATAATGAACGTATCGTTTGAACAGATAGGAAAAAGTATTTGATTTCTAAGTAGTTCATTATTCATCATTAGATGATAGTTTTCAATGATCTTGAGTTTCCTTGTAAAACTGCATGGTGTCCTGGGTATTATAAGTGAGACCACATTCGTGTTCATATGTTCTAATTCGGATCCCGTCCTCCCCCCGTCACTGTTAAGAGGCCTCAATCCTGGGCATATTTACCCTACAGCCACTTGGAAGGAAGCCAGTAATGTCATTACAGATGGCAATGTGCCCAGACTATCTTAAAAAAGCATTGTCTCTGCTACTAGTGAGTTTCAGGAAGGGTGAGGTTCGCTTTTATATTAAGCATTTGGGGAACGCTGAGGGCAGGTAGGTTAGAAGCAGTCTTCTTATTCCTAAATTCCTTAAATTTAATTGTCCTTTAGCTTTCCTGGTCCTAAGCTTGGAACATTGTCTGTTAAGTGATGGGTGGTTTGAGGAGGGGAAAAAAGTAGATAATATTTGGATGATTTGTGCTTCCTACTGTAGCCTCAATTTATTTTCCTTTGGTTTTTTTAGGGTTCTGTATATTGGCTTGGCCTGCAATACAGCTCGCTATATTTATATTTCCTACCTGGAAAATGCCTGGACTGTGCTCCCCATGGAAGTTCTTCAAGGTGAGTTAGAAGTGGAATTGGGGTTGTTTCTCAACCTAACCATGCCACATCTTTGCAAAAGGGTTCAACATGCTTCTACAAAGGAAGGTGGGCCTCCTGTGACATGACTGTGAAGTGGTTGTCAAGGAAGAGATGACGTCGGGGCGCTGGTTCCTCAGTTACCCAGGGTGCTGCTCTGTGTTGAGCCAAACAGGCAGGATTTGACCCACACCCTGGTGATTAAACAAAGAGGGAACTCAAGATAAACTCCAGTGACACTCATAAGCATAGGCATCCAAAGGTGGCTTTAAAAAAGGATTTTATGTTTCAACGCTTTAGATTCTTTTGGTTTTTTAGGTTAACTACAGTTATTGGAAAAATATTTTTGTCATAATTGTTTTATCTCCAGATACTTTTATTCCAGCTGGTGGCCTGTAGCTAGAGCTTTACAATCATATGACTGTTTTCCATGAATCTTCTAAATCTCAGCTCAGGTATCCTGACCCAAGTTCTTTTCCTTCTTAGGGCATCATTTTCCATCAAAGTATAATTCTTAAAAATTTTCTAGGAGGCTCTTGCTCTGTGGCTTAACATGTTCCGCCTGGCTTGAACTACTGGTGGTACAGGCATGACTGCACCATCGGGTGGCTTGTACCACCACATGGGACTGTCCCATATCACCAGCTGGGACAGTCATGCCTGTACCATTGGTGGTTCAGAGCTGTCCAGCAGCAAGGCATACAAATTACAGCCTTGTCGTGAACGTGTTAAAAGCATTGAAAACATGGATTTATATTCAAAGCTCATTGCCATATTAGCCCATATAATCCTGACTAGATCCCCAAAACCCCTGTTAGCAGCTCAACTAACCTATCTAGTGATTGACATTATGATTAAAATAAAGGCTTAGAAGTCAGCCGTGATGGTGCACACCTGTAATCCCATGTTGAGGCAGGAAGATCACAAGTTCATGGCCAGCTTTGGCAACTTAATGAGACCCTGCCTCAGAATTTCAAAAAAAGCAATAAAAAGAGCTGAGGATGTAGCTCAATACTCCCATAGTTCAATCCCCAGTACCACAAAAGGGGAAAAAAGGCTTAGGACAAGGACAGGATCACTGGAGTTGAATCTACTGTGACAGCGTAGCTTCCTGTATCATTAATTATACAATCATTAATTATAATTATACAGTGATTTTGTATAACTTGTTTAGTAAAGATTGCCATTATCATTTTTCCTGACCCTGTGGATGCAAATGCAACTCAGCCCTTTCAGTCTTTTCAGATGAAAGATTCACAATTACCATCCTTACAAAATGTACAAAAATGGCACAACCTCATTCATCAGACTCCATCATGGTGATGAGAAAGAGCACCCTAACTTAAAGGAGATATAATTTATAGTCATATTCTAGTTATAAAATTCAAAACTATACACACTTGGAGGGTGCTTTTTCTTAGGACTTCTGTGCGATGTAACTGGTGAAAGGAGATCTATTTACAAATAGGTAAAAGGAAATGACTGCAATGATGACCACTCAGGAGACGTTTTGAGGTAAGGCACACGTATGAGGTTTAGGTATTTCAGAATAACAAAACACTGAATGTGAACTACAAGAAAGAACTGTGCAGCTGGGAATTTAGCTCAGCAGTGCCGCACCTGCCTGGCAAGCACAAGGTGTCCTGAGTTTGATTCCTGGTACTGGAAAAAAAAAAGAATTGTGCAACAAGGTACATGTATCCAGTTCTTAAGACTTCCCACTTCTAGTTCCTCTTTTCTCTGTATCTGGCTTAATTGCTTTTTTAATTGGCATATTACTGTGTATAGACTCTATAACAAGATTTCTGTGCCTACTGTAAAGAGTGTATTGGAATAATATATACACATACCTTTCCTCCTTTTAATATGAGTTATATAGAAAAGAACAGTTTGGGGCTGGGTAGCTCAGTGGTGGGGTGATTGCCTAGTATGTATGAGGCCCTGGATTCCATCCCCAGCACTGACAAAGTAAAAGATAAAAAGAAGACAGAAAAGAACAGTTTGCATAAGAGACTCAAGAAAAATAGCATTCATAAAATGGTTAAAGGAACAACAGAAAAATATCAGGAAAAATCAAATGTTATTGTGAACTTAAAACCTCTTTTCCTGTTAGTTTATCAAAGATGTATTAAATGGCTGCTAAGAGCTAGACAACATGCTGGTGCTGGGAATATTAATAATAATAATAATAATTAACTCAGGTCCAAAGTCTCACCATCTGTTCCGGAAGCCAGATGTGTAAACACATAATTACTATACAGTGTGTTAGATGGAATCACAGGAAGATGTGCTGGGAAACAGGCAGGAGCTCAGTGCAGGGGATAATTAACTTTGTGAATCAGGGAGTGGAGGATGAAGATTTGACCGAGAAATTCCCCAAGGAAATCTCACTGAGCTGGAGTAGAAAGGGCCACTAGGAATCCTCCCGGTGGCCTTCAGAGGTGGCCTTCAGCCTTTCAGCGGAGAGAAGGTGCTTGTCAGGTTGTGGACGTGGGAAGTGGAAGATAAGTGGAAGCAGAAGGTGGAAAAGTTGCATCAGGGATATAAGTGGGGGGTGGTGTAGGTAGGGCTGTATGGGGTCCCTACCCAGGCTGCCAACTCAGGACATATCTTTCCTGTTCCCATCTGCACCTCAGGGCCTGTGAGCCCAGGATCTGGGAGCTGGCCATGTTCTGACTCTAAACAGGCTTTTTGCTATGGCTTATACTTCCGTGTCTCGTACTCTCCCCTGTGCCAGTAGGAACCTGGTTACTGATCTGAAGCAAGTGAAAACAAAGATCTGTAAATGCAGATCCAACAGAGGGCTCTGTGAGCAGGTTCCAGAGCTCGCTGTCTCCAAAGCTGGAGGAGATGGCTTCATTCCCTGGCACCAGGAAGTGCTGAGTATCTCGGCTGTAGAGCAAAAGCAAAATTGCTTGCCTTTGTTGGATCTGTGCCCATACCACAGAAAGTAGTGGGTCATCCATGTGGAATAAATCTTGTGTCACAGGAATACATTTCTGACTAAAAAGGTTTGTTTTGGCAGCCTTGATTCTGCTGATTTTGACAGGGCTTGTCCAAAAGACTTCAAAGTCCCCGTGCTTAAAGGAGACTCTACTTAGGATGCAAGAAGACACTGAAGGATTTAATTTTAGGATAAGAACACTACCGTGGTAGATGCGCCTTCAATCACTGACTTCACCTCTTGCCTGAGTTTTATCAGTGTCTTGGGAAGGGAGGCTGGGAGTGGACTATTACCCGTCATCCCTAACAATTTTGACACTGAACGACCAGCACTTCCTTGTCACATGAGAGTCTTCCAGAAAGGATATAGTGAATTCAGTCTCTTCAGCTTTCACCCCTTGGCTCATCCCCCAATTATCCTGCAGCCAGTACCATTTAATGGGCAGCTGAAGGTGGGATACGACAGTATTGCTGTGGTCGCCGTCACCAACTAGCCAGCTCCCCCCCCCTTTGTGTTGTCTGTAACTAACAGTGGAGAATTCCTTGTTTTCCTTCAGTTCTGGATCACCCTCTCACCGTTCTGTCTCCTCAGGACATGTGGATAGGACTTAGCAGGTGGGTGGGGGAAGATGTCCTCCTGGCCAGCCTCATGGGAAAGGGGCTGTGAGGCATCTGTCTTGGGGGCCAAGATGAGACCACTAGGTACTGTTTGGTGTTGTGAGCTTGTTTCTTGTGACCTTTCTCACATTCAGCAGCCCCTGTGCTTTTGTAGTCTGATCCTTTCAGCAGTTCGGCTACCATTTACAGCAAACATGTTAGTCAAGAAGCCCAAGCCATATTTCTTGCCCAGGAAGAGCCTAAAATATATTTTTAAAAAGAGACAGCGGAACTAAGTGCATACACGCATTGGTGGATGGTGGTGGTGACATGATGAGTTTATATTTATTTCTCAAGATCTCATTTTCAAACCTCATAGGAATGTTCACCTGTTCTTTTGTATAAGAAGCACTTTAGCATGCATGGTTATCAAGAATATAAACATTTGATAAAAATCAGGCTTGAATTTGTTATGCTCCTTAACTATGTGAGTATTGCTTATAGTAAATCCTTGCAAAACTCAGAGATGCATATGATCAAGATTACTCTTGCTACCAAGATGTAAAGGGAGCCCAAGGGCTCCTATAACTAAAGGAGCCTTTTTAGCTCATTTGAGTGAACAGCTCCAGGGCTGAGGGGTGAAAATGATGGCTGGGTCGCTCCTTCTCTGTGAAATGTGCTCCCAGTAGGAGCTGGGTTGAGATTTTGATGAAAGATGACTTTTTAATGTGACCAGTAGGAGGGCCTGGGCTGACATTTATGAAGCTTTCCTCTGTTTGCCTAAAATAGCATGCCTACTCCACTGACTAAGAACCACATTTTCCTTCCTCTGAGGAAATTATAAGAGGATTACTATGCAGCCCCTATCTGACAGTAGACCTTCTAAACATGGTTCCATTCGGTTATTATCCACATTGGAAATTTTGTCTGACTTAACCTTTTAAATACAAACATTTTGTGACATGAATAACTGAGACAGACAGATATGCATTAGAATTTCAACTGGTAAAATGACATAAAATGTCACCTATGATATCTAGGAGTGGTAGCTCACACTCCTGTAATCCCAGCACTGGTAGGCTGAGGCAGGAGGATCACCACAAGTTTGAGACCAGCCTGGACTACATAGCAAGACCCTGTCTCAAAAAACAACAATTAAAATAAGTCATTTGTGTTACTGTTAAAATTAATTTTTAATCAAAAGTCTTTTGAAGTGTAATAGAATAATCTTATTCTTTGTCACCCTATGGTTTATAGTTACTAAGAATTCCTATAAAATATTTTCTTCAAAACAGGAATTATTTTGTCCATTTGGTAGTCATCTGAAATGTCCTCTGATCCAAGAATCCTTTTCTGGCAATCAAATCCCACACTTAGCTCTCCTTTTTCTGAGTCCTTCTCAAGCTATGGACTGCGGTACACATTTTAGCACTTAGGTACTCTCTTACTATTTTACAAGTACTCGTTATGTCTCCTTAGTTTAAATTCTTGAATACAAAGACCTTATACTTTTAAAATTCACCGAAGAGTTATGCATATAGGGGAATATACTATAAATGCTTGTTTCATCGTATAGTCCCACGTTTCAGGCATTTTCCAATTTTTAAATCTCTTGACTAATACATGAAGTTCCAGCTCAAAAAAATCTATAAATATCTGAAAGAAATTTCAGAACTAAATTTAACAGTTGAACCTTCACTATCATAGTTCTTCCTAGCATGACAGCTTGCCCTCCATGGCACATCTGTAAAAACACTGATGATTTTAATCATGTACTTACTCTCTCACCTCATTCTGTAAAATGTGCAATAATCTGGAACCTGGAAAGTGGCTAGGCTTGAATTAGACTGAGTTTGAATTCCAGCTCCCTTTCCCAAGCCCTGTGGTCTTTAGGGAGGACACTTAGCCTCTCTAAGCCTCACACTCCAGAGCCATTAATAATGGAAGTTGATATGGATATTAGATAAACCACTCCATTCAAACTGGTTAGCACAGGACGTGACACATAGCATCCAGTAGATGTCAGATGATATACGGTAACAAAAATGGAAAACAAATTATACATACATAAATCAGCACCAGGGCATGGAATTTAAGAGTCTACTCTCAGAGGTTAAACTGCAATTATGCATGGAAGCTATAAGTAGGCTCTGAGCATGAAGGAATCGTGACTATCTAGTGCATACTGTTCTTGAAGTTTTCTTTGAGGAAGTGACATTTTTGCTGGCTTTGACACAAAAGCAGTTGTCATATGTGCCTTCCTGTGGGACAACACTGAGCATGTAGTGTAAAGTGTGTGAAGTCTTGCCATTAAACACACTTCGTTTTGGGTGGTAATCTCTAAAACCCGCTTTGAAAACACACCGAAGGCAGTGTCAGCATGCGTAATCCCCAAACACTGCCGTATCAAGAGTAGATTTTATTTTTCAGGAACTCATTTTTTTAAAAACCTGCAGGCTACAGCTCATAGAAGGTCTGCTATTTTACTTCCTCTGTCTATTGTACTCGTGTGTGGGGTTTGGAAGTTTTCTCCAGCCCTGTGCAGGGTACTTTTTACCCAAAGTGCCTTCCTCCTGCCAAGGCTTAGTCCCAGGGATTCTCTTCAGCCACAGAGCTGTGCCAACCCCTGTGCTGGGCAGGTGGGTCTGCTCAGGGACTTGCTCTGCTGCTCACTCAGGTGAATCCTGTCCTGTTCTCCCTCTCAACGGAACTCTGGTGTCTGGGGACATTTCTTGTATGCTGTCATGTTCTCAAAGCCTATCAGGGTAACTGGCGCGTAGTACAGTGGTTCAGTAAAGAGTGCTGACTAAATGTATGAAGGTGAGTCTTACAGTGTCATGCATTGGTGGGCATGGATGTGTTGGCCTTTAATATGTAATTGTTAACATGTCTTCTATAAAGTCTCTTTCGTGTGGCACACTGAAGACTTGTGCTGCCGCTGCTAGGTTCCTAGCATGTTGTGAGGGCTTCTGGCTTTGGAGAGTCCTGTGCTGTCTGTGGCCCCGGCTCTGGCAAGGAGCCCGGCTTGCTCTTCAGCTGCTGTCTTCCTCTTCGAGGACCAACGGCTGGACTCCATTTCCCAGCATCCTTTAGGTCTGACCAGGTAGTGCCTCTGGCCAGTGAAATGAACACAAAAATGATGTGTGCCCATAAAATGTCCCATGCACCGTCTTCTCCCTCTTCTGCCAGCTGGACAGTGACATCCGGCTAAACAGGCATTGAAGAGCACAGAGTCTCTGTACCCGGGTCCCTGAATTCCTTTCTGGAGTGGAGCCACTGCTCCTCCTGCCTCCTGCACAGTGGACTTTGTCTGAGAAAGAAAAGAAAGTATCTGGGGATAAAGCCATGAAGATCCTGGGGATTCTCTGTGACAACAGCTAGCACCACCTTAAGTGATCAATCCAGACTCTGCCTGCCCTGCGAAGGCCTTTTCTCAGGTGGAGCAGTCGCTCATTGATGTTCACCAGGCTGATCTTCTGGAAGCATCTTTCACCCTGGCACTGGAGAATTGCACTGAACTAAGTGAAATTATGCTCTGGTCTGTCACTGGGAAAGGTTTGTCACCGCTAATTCTCTGTCGGTACTGAGGGGATAATTTTGTTCAGTGAGCATGCATCAGTGGCAGAAGCAGGACAAACAACAATCCCAGTTTGCAATACTTTGTCAGTTCTTGCTCCTCCCAGCTATTATGATGTGATTTCCCTAAGCCACACAGCATTTCACAAAGCGCAGCTGGCTACTAGAGAAGAGAGGAATTGTTTTCTTGCTCCTACATGCATGCATTGCAGTGGAGCACTCTTGTGGCCAAGACAGAGTAATTTTTAAATGCATGTTGCAGAATCGGTTATCAGTATTGAATATTATAAGGTAAAGAGGTAGGGCCTATAAATATATATGATAATATGCTTGATATGTTAGCTCTTTAGGAACAGAAGGAGGTAGTTAATACAGTATCCATTATTTTAAGAAGATAGATTGCTATGCATGCTTGATATCAACAGAAGCTCTCAGAGCAGATGGTTACATTTATTACAGAGTATTACTAGTTATCGGGAGGACACAGTGAGGCATTAAAGCCCTTAAGTTCTAAACTTAGATACTGTATCTTGGGTTCAGATCCTGTCCCCTGCTCCACTGTCTGTGGGGCCTTGAAGAAAGCACTCTGATTGATCTCTCTGTGGCTTAGTTTCCTTTTCGGAAAATGAAGGAATAGTAGTACCTGTGATTGGGAGGAATAAAGGAAATAGTGTGTATAAAATAGCAACGTTTTCTGTGGAGTGAGCTGCCACAATGATACTATTAATGAAGAAAATGTATTAATCATTACTTTTAGTGATTCTAGGTTATTCACATGTAGCGAATCTCCGATGATTAGGTGTTGGAAATACCTCTATTTCCCTTAGGCCTCAAAGCTAACCCTGATTGGACCCTGTAAAGGCAAAGAAGTACCGAGACACTAAATCTGTGTGACCTCCACGGTCCCCGAGAGTCATTCATTACCTGTCATCACGTTTACAAAGCACGTATTTTGTGGTGTGGAGATGGACTGTCACTTAGGGTGCATCAGAGGATTTCTGACAAGCAGCCAACAAAGGGCTCGCTCCTGTTGCTGGGAGAGTGGATTTGTGTGTCTTTTTTACGGCCTTTTATTTTTCTGTTTGATCTAGCCACAGAGTTCCCAGACATAAGGCTTTATCATTTTGTTGCTCCAGTATGAATACACTCAACAGTGCCGCCAAATAAGTGTGCTTATTTCATCACATACAGAATAATCATCTACTGCTTTTTTATTAGTACTCTAATAAAAGGTAAAGAAAGCAGAGGCATTTTGGTGGATTATGATACTTTTTACCTCCTAAATTTTACAGTACAGTTGTTGTAAGTAGCGCAAATGTTAAGACATCCTTAACTTTGTAATATAGCAATGGAAATTTCTGGAAGGTTTTTAGATTTCTGGGTTGCCTTTTTATTATTTTAAAACTAGAGGAGCAGAACACAGTTGTAAAAACATTGACAGGAGTTTGAGATTGTAAAGATTACTGGAAAGTTGTGTATTTAAGTTTAAGCACAAGAACCACAACTTTTAAAGGTGATACTAACTCAATCAGTACCTTCTTATAGATTGCTTAGTTTTGCAGTTTTTCCCCCTAGGAAGTAGGATAGATTTAATTGATTCTTTCATTGATAAGATATTTCAAAATAAGTTATTTCAGAGAAATCAATTTTAATCCCACATCTTGCCTAGAATATGTATAATACTGGATTATATATATAGGCCGCATGGCTTTCCTTCTGCTATTAGTACCAGAAACAAATTCTTACTCTGTGCCTGACTTATTTTTTTCCAGTTCTGAGGTACTTTAAAGTATGTAGCTCCCAATTATCTAATCAGTCCCAAAAACCAATAAGAAAAAAAAATAAAACTAGAAATCTAACTGGAGAGAATCTTTTACAAGTGCCACTTAATACCAGCAAACAAATTCTAAACATAGTTTAAAAGCATTGCAAGTAAAGCTAAAAATGCTTTAATTATCTTGAAAGACTCAAATTCTGAAGGAGACCCAGAGAGGAAGAGAGAGAGAAGGAAGGAAAGGGAGAAAGGGAGAGGGAGTGAGCGAGAGAGACAGAGAGAGAGAGGGAGAGAGCAAGAGAGACAGAGAGAGAGAGAGAGAGAGAGAG